TAGAGGAAGCTGAAGGCCACGTAGGGCGGCTTCCTCTGCAGCGCCTCGTCTCTCTGCAGCGCCACGAAGTCGCCGAAGCCGATGGTGGTGAGGGTGATGAAGCAGTAGTAGTAGGCGTGGAAGAAGGTCCAGCCCTCGAAGTGCGCAAAGGCCGCGGCGCCGAGGGCCAGGGTGGTTGCGCACAGCAGCAGCCCGGCCACCACCATGTTCTCTGCGGACACGTGCGGCCGCTGCAGACCCAGGCAGCGTTTGGCCGCCAGCAGCAGGCACCTCACCAGCGCGTTTAGACGCTCGCCCAGGCTCTGGAAGGTGACCAGCGTCAGGGGGATGCCCAGGAGTGCATAGAACATGCAGAAGACCTTTCCGGAGTCTGTGCCTGGTGCGGCATGGCCATACCCTGTGCGGGGAGAGAGATGGGATGCTGACAGCCCAGCCTGCCCCGAGATGCTCCCACCCCAGGCCTGCCTGTCCTCAGCAGCTCTAAGCCCTACTTAGGTCGTCCCCACATTCTGAACACCCGTGAGGCTATTCACATCCCAGATGTCTACCCACCCTCCCCGTGGAGGTGGATAATCGACCTGTGGTCCTTCAGAACCACGGAATTCTGTTGGGGGCATCTTCTGTTCCTGGCAGTAGCGAAGGATGGATCTTAAATGTATGTTACCCAGTGGAGGAAGCCCAGTCCCACAGCATGGACCCAGTTGATAGGATGCTCTGGAACCAACAGCTGGAGAGACAGAACAGCGCTGTGGCTGGCTGCTCTAGGCTTGAAGGACTACCCAAGGGCTTAGAGTTTGGGCTGTACAGAGGGGTTCTGTGGCTTGGACTGCACCTATTTGATGGCTGCTCTGACAAGCTACAGTGTCGAGAAAATGTGAATTTTAGCAAATTATGCCTTGGTCAGAAGGGACAGGAGACAGGTCTTCTGTGGTTTCTTAGTATCCACAGGATAAAGTCCCAGTTCTCACAAGGATCCCCCAGCCCCCCCCCACTTCCAAGCCTCACCCCTCCACTCACCTCCTTCCTCCCCAGTCTCACCTCTCTCTGCTCACCTCCCCACTCTCCAGACTCACCCCTCCTCTCATCTCGCCTCTCTCCAGCATCAACCCTCTCTCACCTCCCCACTCCCCAGACACAACCCTCCTCTCTCCTCTCCACTCCCCAGCCTCAGCCCTTCTCTTACCCATCCTACTCCCTAGACTCACCCCTCCTCTCCACTCCCCAGCCTCACCTTTCCACTCCCCAGCCTCACCCCTCCTCTCAAATCCCCAGTCTCCATACTCACCCCTTTTACACCCACACTCTCCAGGTACACCCTGTTGTTCCCCTGCTGGAAAGTCATTTCCACACTTCTTTCATATTTTCCTCCCCTCGGACTGCCTTGTCTCCCCTTCCTAGCCCCCTGCTCCCTCAGATTCCTCCTCATCTTCTGCCACCCTGTTGGTCTTCACTAAACACCCATTGGTTCTGGGAGTCTCTGGATCAAGCACTGTTCACTGGTTCCCTCGTGGGATCTAAGCATGGGTGGGCTTCCTTGAGTCATGGGTCCCCGTGCCATTGTTGTGGAGTGTGGGTGTGTCTCTCTCTGGGGAGAGCACCAATAACTTACATGGGCCCGTAACCAGGGAGAAGTGAGGGGGTCCATCTCCCAAAGAGAATATCCTCCAGCAGACTGACCCTGTCTGCCCAGAGGTAGAACACACAGACCCCTAGACATGTGCACTTCTATATGGTAACCTCCAGTACATACAGATGTGTGAAATGGTGTGCCACTGTGGTCATAGCAGAAGTTAGAACCAAGCACACATCCATCAATAGTGGCCTGGTTAGGTTCATCTCAGCACCATTCAAACAGTAGAACACTACACCAGACCACAGTGGCCATATCACCATGCAAGCATCTGGCAACACCTAAGGAAGCTCTTGGTTGTCTCTACTAAGGGCCGGGAATGGGGTAGCTGTGTGTTGCTGGCATCCAGAGGCAGAGGCTGGGGATGCTGCCAGCACCTTACAGAGCACAGGGCAGGCCCCCAAACACAAGTAACCAGGGCAAGATGTCAGTGCTTCCAAGGTTGAGAAGCCCTGCTATTCAGCCTGAAAAAAAAAAAAAATGTCGTGGCTCTTTAGAGTTGATATAAAAAGCATTGAGACATTCTAAAGCAGGGTCTGGGGTACAGCTCAATTGATACAGTGCTTGACTAGCATGCCCGGTGTCCTGGGTTCAGTTCCTAGTACCAGATAAAAGACAAGCATGGTGGCATACATCTGTAAATCTCCAGCACCTGAGAGGCTGCTGAGGCAGGAAGACCAGACGTTCTCTGTCATTAACAGATACGGAGTGATTTTGAAGCCGGTCTGGGCTATATGAGGCCCTGTCTCCAAAAAACAAAGGATGTACTAAATGAAAAGAGCAGGAATAGGCAGAATAGTGCATACAATGTATTCTCCATACAATGTGTGTGGTGTTTAAAGGGACATGTACACAGAGCATGTAGCTGGAGTATTTGAGAGACGAGTGAGATGTATGTGAACTAGGAGATGAATGAATGGGTTAAGAGACAGGACAGAGACTCAGAAAGACAAAGATGGCATGTTTCCTCTTTCATGTGGAATCTAGATTGTAAAAAAAGACATGAAAGCTAGAAGGGGGACCACTCGGGACGAGGACCAGAGGAAGGAGGACAAGAGAAAGTGTGGGGGTGAATATAATCGGAGTGCCTGACAGATGTGTATGAAAACGTCACAGTGAAACCCATGGGTTCTGTACAATTAATATACACGAATAAAAAAGACCAAAGAGCTTCCAGGAAAAGGGGGGAGAAATTCCTTTTCATTCTGCACCCTTTGGTACCTGTGAAATGCACAGTGTGAACATGTATAATATTCAGAGACTCGGTTTAACGTAAGCATTTATAGCCCCATGGTTGGTTGCCCTTCCACTACGTGGCCCCGTGGGTCCGCCTCCCTGTGGTACCAGGGAAGGCACACACTGCCCATCACTACTTTGAATCCTTGAGGGCAGGAACCATGGTAGCCACTTCTGTACACCCTGAGTCACCCATGCTCTGCACAGACACACAGACAATAGGTCCACGGAAAGTTAACTGACTCAAACCAACCGGGAGGGGAGGGGAGCTAGGGCCCTCCTTAGGACTAACAGGCCAGGAAATGCTGTTTTCATCTGCTGCAGGAGCAATGCCAGGTTTGAGCAGAGGGAAGTGAGTATTAACAACACATATCAGGTACTCTCCACGGATTCTCTCATCAGGCCCAGGGTTAACACTGTTACCCCTGTTTTGTGGTCAAGAAAGCAGGCTCAGGGGGACGGAGCTGTGCAAAGGTCCCAGAGCCTGAGTTGTTAGCCCCAGGTCCTCCATGCTTCTTGGTGCCTTTCTTTTGCTAAAGCAGAACGGAGATTCTGGACTCTTGGGGCCTGGCTTCCTGCAAGGTTTTTTGTTTGTTTGGTTTTTTTGTTTGTTTGCTTTTTGTTGTTGTTGTTGTTTTAACACGGTACAACAAAGGAAGTGGTGCGCCCCCAAGTGGCCAGAAAAGCCGAAACATTTCCCGTTTCTACACCGTTTTGTTTTGTTTTGGTTGGTTGGTTTCCCTCGCCGCCGCCCCACCCCCCACCCCCGCCCCCCACCCCCGCTTTTCTTTCTCTAGCTTGGGTTTCAGGTTAGCGAGGGAGGAGGCCAAATCTGACCCGAAAGCGAAAATGGGAAAGGGCAGAGGCTCCAGAAATGGCACAACCTCTGTAGACACGGCAAATGGGAGTGTCTTGAGAATGGGGCTTGTAGACAAGAGAGGGCAGAAGCATTGAATGAGCTGGGTTTATAGTTGGCAAATAATAAATTATTACCACCAATAGTGCCTGCACAGCCTATGGCACCACATGCTGGGCCGTTCACACTCCCGACCTCACTTTAAACCTGGCATTTGCCCGGCAAGGTAGAACATTTGCTTTTTGCCTTTGACAAAAGCAAGTGTCAGGGGGCACAGTCGCTTGCCTGAGAAGGTAGGTGGCTGGAGGGGCCCAGAACTCAGTCTTTAGGGTTGCAAGTGTGCTTAAACTCATGGCTACTGTGCAAGTGCATCTTCCGGATGTAGGCTTCTGGTTTGCTCCTGGAAGGCCACCGGGACACCTGGCAACCACAGCTGGAGCCTGGTACCAATTGGTGAGCTAACTGAAGTCTGAAGCCCTGGAGAGCCGCTTCTCTCCTTGCAGGTTCCCCAGACTTAGCCCCTCAGGTCCTGGCCAGCTGTGGTTATGGCAACAGCTGGAGTCCAAATAGTGTATATAGCGGCTCCTCTGGCTGCCCCAGTGTGAGCCAAAGCTTTGGTAATCTGCCATGCCCTTAACAAGTGGTTGGACTCCTGTTCGTCTCTAGGACACTAGCCACACAGCAGTCACAAGGCAAATGAGAGCTCTGTTATACGGGGCTAATAGAATAATTGTTATTATAATACAAAGGCATTCTTATTCCCACGGTGTTTTCTGTGGGTCAGGTCCTGTGCTAAAACAATCTGCACAGTAATAATCTCCACCACAGCTGGCCTTCCTCCCTTCCCCTTGCAAGACATGTTAGGACTCCTAGTTTTCAAACACGGTAGCTCAGAGAAGTCAAGAAACTTATCTAAGGCTACACAGCTGATACAGTGGGACAGGGAAGCCCTACTTCTGTTCCCCAAGACCCTGGGGTTTCCTCTAGTCACCCCTGTGTCAGCCTCGTGACACACCCACTGACTGCCCCCATTCCGCCCAGTGAGGCAAATGAGCCTCAGAAAGCTAGCATCCTCCTTCCAAAGACAGGGACAGGGGTGGGACTGCGCCCGAGGAGAGATCGAGACTGAGCGGGACAGGGGGGAGGCTCCGAGGGCTCACCGATGGTGGTGATGACTGTGATGGCGAAGTAGAAGGAGCCTGCGAAGCGCCACTGGCGGCCGGCGCGGTGCGGCTCTGCCTGCAGCGCCAAGCGCTCCAGCTCTCGGTAGTCGTCGGCGGAGAAGCCGTACTTTCTGCGGAACTCGCTGCGCTTCCGGGCCAGCAGCCGCTGCCGGTTGCGCTCGGCCTCGGACTCCAGCGCATCGAAGACTGCGGCGCCCACCAGCAGGTAGGACAGGATGCACAGGATGAGCGCGGCCGTGCGCGCGCTCTGCTTCCTCATCGCGTCTCGGGGGCCCCGGGTTTCCGTGCGCCCCGACGGTGCCAGCTCCAGCAAGCTCTGAGCTCTCCCGCCGCTTCCCCGCCCTAGCTCACGCAGGTCCCCGCAGGGACATCTGGTGCAGAGGCCCAGCCCAGGTGTGCAGAGGGCCCGCCTCCATCCCGAGCTCGCCCTAGGACTTGGGGCTAGTCACCCTTTCCTTCCTCCCGTCTATCACCTAGGAAATGTTTGCCAAGCGCCCTCTGGTGCCCACCCTTCTCGGTGGGAGTAGAACAAATGTGCCAGCAAGCAGGGAGGGATGATAAATGAGCAAAAAGATAAGGTAAGACAGGTGTGATAAAGGAGAAAAATAGCGCTTGAAGAGGCGCGTGCCAAGCCATCCAGGAGTGACCAGGGAGACAAAATCCAGGCCACAAGTGTAGGTTCCTCGCCAAATCAGAAGGGAGGTGACTTGGTGCAGGAGACAGCAGGAAACAGTAGTGACTGGTGTGGCTGGAGCCAAGAGAATTGGCATGCAGGCTGGAGAGAGAGAGGAAGAGGAACAGCGAGAAGTGACTTTTTTTCACTTATTTTTATTTTATATGAATTGGTGTTTTGCCTGCATGTGTATCTGTGTGAGGATTCTGAATCCCCTGAAACTTGAGTTACAGACAGTTGTGAGCTGCCATGTGGGTGCTGGGAACTGAACCAGGGTCTTCTGGAAGAGCAGCCAGTGCTCTTAACCACTGAGCCATCTCTCCAGCCCCGAGAAGTGACTTCTATAAATCCATTTTTAATTTAATTTTTATTTTATATTTGCCTGCATACCACTTGCACAGGGCCGGTGGAGACCAGAAGAGGGTGTAGGTTCTCCTGGAACTGGAGTTGAGGTTTCCAGTTGTGAGCCACCATATAGGTGCTGGGAATTGAACCATAGGTCCTCTGGAAGAACTGCTGAGCCACCTTTCCAGATCCCAGGCTGAATCTTCAGGACAACTGAAAACCATGGGAAAGCAGTAAGCAGAATTACACGCAATTCCACCATAATCTGTTTTTTTGTTTTGTTTTGTTTTGTTTTTCAAAAAGGCCAGGAATGGCAGTCCACACTTGTAATCTCAGCACTTGGGAGGTAGAGGCAGGTAGATCAGGAGTTCAAGTCCTGACTGGGCTACTTGGCACCATGTCTCACCACCACACCTCAGAAAATGCAAGGGACTGCCATGTGGAAAAGAAAAGGTGGCCGAGAGTGAAGACCCTTCAAGAGGATGGCCTCACCCAGATACATGCTAAGGGGGGCTAGCCTAAGGTAACAGAAGAAGGGAAGCAGATGGCCCTGGGAAACATTGGAGAGCTGGACACATGGCAAGTGTAAGCTCCCTGGCATCAACAGGCTTCACCAGTCCAAGCTTTAGCCAGTAAATCCTCACACGCTGCTCAGGCCTGAGCTCTAAAGCCCTGCCCCCATGCCACCCCACCCCTTCCCCTCACCTGCAGGCTGAACACAGCACCCCCAAAGAGCACAGGAAGGCTGTGTGCCTTCTTGTGATCCATTATGTCAGGGTCTGATTTGGGGGGTCCATCTGTCACAGAAGGTGATACACTCCAATTCACTGGACAAGAGTCACTAGTGGATTTGGGTGTAGAGGTAAAGGGAAGGACTCAGGATGGCCCCGGAGTATTACCTGAGCAGCTAGGTGCTCGGGAAACCTTTCATTGACCCTTCTTCTCAAAGAGCACACTCCTGTCTCCAAGCACCAAAATGGTACCTTCTTCGGAGTCCTACCTGTGAGCCTGTATGGAGACTTCTGCTACAGTACCAGTTACCCTCACCTGAAGCTGTTGGGGACAACTGGACCTCCCAGGTATCTGCTGCAGCATGGCATGCATTGCTATCATCGTGCCTAATCAGGCCTGTCTCCCCATAGCCTCTCACCCTTGCTTGCCCCAACCACCCTCAACTTTCAGTCCCCACCATAAACGCTTGCTTGGCTCATTACAGCCTTCTCCCCATCCCACTCAGCCAACATCTGTTGCCTCCCTGCCAGGGGCCGGGTAGCAGCAGAAGTGCCATACAGGTATCGAGGTGCTTAATCACCCCAACTCAGCTGGCTCACACGCTGGCCACTCTGCCACTCTCAGCACAGTCGGATGTGTTTCCCCAGGGGGTCTCCTCTGAGCTCCTAGAGGCCTCTGAGTGCCTGCCATCTTCCATTCCTCCCACTACAGTATAACCCTTGCATTGCACATATGCATCAGCCCCAAGGGTCATCCTCTGGTCTCCAGCACCCAGACCTGCTGTGCAGCACACACCTAGTGGCAGTTTGAGGTCAAATGAGAACTTCCACGTGCAAGTTAGGAACAAGTCGCCTCCACTGCTCCCGGAGCTCGGGCTGGTTCAGTTTCCACTGCTCCCGGAGCTTGGGCTGGTTCAGTTTCACCGCCCGTAGAACGTCGGGTTTGTTTGCTTGTTTGTTTTTGTTTTTCGAGATAGAGTTTCTCTATATAATAGCTCTGGCTGTCCTGGAACTCATTTTGTAGCCCAGGCTGGCATGGAACCCACAGAGATCTGCCTGTCTCTGCCTCCCAAGTGCTGGGATTAAAGGTGCGAGCCACCAACACCTGGCTTAGAATGGTTTTTGTCTTTAATTCTTTTCTGTCTCATAAGGAACTGCAGTAGCATAAGAATGGCCCCCAAGAATGCCCATGCCTCCTCCTTGGGATCTGTGAATACATTTGGCTGCCTGGCAAAGGGAAGCTGAGGACGCTGATGGCACAGGTTGCTGATCACCTCAACATGGGGGATGATCTCAAACCTCCGGGTGAGTCCACATTACCACAAGGGTCCCTATACTCAAAGATGAAGGCAGGAGAGACACCCAGCGATTGCAGCATTAGGAACTCAGCCTGATCCCTGGAGGAGGGGTAAAGCAGGTGACATTCAGGAGCTGGAAGTGGGAAGAAGATGGGTTCCTGCTTTGTCTAGAGAAAGGAATGTGGACACACAGGCACCTTTGTTCTAGCCCAAGGAGACCCATGTCGAGAGAACTAGAAAGTTCTTCTTTTTGGGGGGCAGAGGTGGATGTAAATGTGCAAGTACACATGTGGGGGCGATATGCATGCACACGTGTGTGCATATGTGTAGAGGCCAGACATCAACTTTTGAATGTCACTCCTCAGGAACTATCCACCTTGTTATTTCTTTGGAACAAGATCTCTCATTAGGATTCAGGGCTCTCCAATTCAGGCAACTGACTAGCCAGACTGCCCCAGAGATCCTCTTGACCTGACCTCCTCAGGTAGGATTACAAACACATGCCACCACACCTGACTTAAAAATGGGTGCTGGGGATTGATCTCAGGTTCTCATGGTTGTTAAGCAAGCACTTTACTGGCTGAACTCTCTCTCCTCAGCCCCAGAAAGTAATTTGGAGGGGAGTGGGAGGTGGGGGTAAGTCCCCATGTTTGTGATGATTGACAGCTGCCATAGGGTGAATGGAGAAGCCTGGGGAGCCCCACCTGCTTGCCAACGGGATTACCCTAGGGGCATTTAGCCCCTGTTACTATCACAGTGAGTGGACCCTGGCCTGTAAGACCTCAGTTCTGGGGTGGAGTTGGGGCTCAGTGCCTATAGAAAAAGATTTGCACACCCTCACCCCCAGAGGGTCAGGATGGCAGCCAAGTGGCCCAGAAGCAGGTTGCTGACGCGGTGAGCTAACACAGTTGCTGAGACTTTATTTTTAGTAAGGGCATCAGCAAGTTTGTTTTTCTGATTCTTCTCCGCACAGAGAGGCAGAAACCTGGGCAGAAGCCTCGGGGTGGGGGCAGGGCGCCAGGCTCTTCCACTCAAGAAGGGTTGGAGAAGAGCCTGTGGGGACGAGCAAGCTTGGGGAGCAGCTTGGTCGTGGGGAGCGGGGGAGGAGAGTTCACGAGGATGATCCTGAGCACAGCTGAAGTTCAGAAAGACTTGAGTTCAAATTCCTACTCCTCCACTTTCTACTTGCATTTCCAAAGACAGAACATCTCCACCTTTTTGAGCTTCGATTTTCCCATGTGAGAACCAAGATACCAACGCTCCCCACGGAGGACCGTTACAGACACTGGGATGTGCTGCTTCCCAGGTACCCTGAGCTGGTAGTCTTGTTTCCTCCCTTTTCAAAACTGCCTGTCGACAGATGCCAGGAATTCTGTTTTCAGAAACAGAGGAGAGTCTGGCTAGAGGCGCTGGAGCCCTGTGTGTGCTGAGCATTGCCACAGTGTCACCTCTACAGGTCAGGAAAGAGAAGGTGCCGATCTACCAAGTCCCCGTGGTCATGGCTGAGACAGGACTCGAACATGGGCCTGCCTGAATCCCAAGGGCACCACTCTTCTTAGGCTAGGCACTGCTGGCCATGTCACTCTTCCATCGGCCCTGGGGACCATACTTTCCTCATCTGTGAGATGGCTGCAAGATCCTCGGTAGACGAAGCTGTCCCGCCACTGTGAGGATCCCATGACATAGAGCTGAGGGTGACTTGTCAGATGTGCCTACTGGGGTGGGTATAATTGGGGCCATGGAGGCACTGTCTGGCCCTGCCAGGCAGGTGACTCTGCCCTGTGCTTGGCATTTTTGGTTCAGCAGTGCTATTTTAAGCCGGAGGAGGTTAAGTTTGTGTATGTGTGTTTCTCAGCTTGGAAGTCATCAGCTGAGCAGACACCAAAAACAGAACTCCCTAAGGCACTCTTTTCAGCTCCCCTCCTCCCCCTGCTTGGGGACCTGAGGGCATCTAGTGATTTTCCTTTGTCCCCTGATGCTAGCATTATACCCATGGCCTTTCAGGGAGGCCTGGGGGCTCCTTAAAAGCTGGCAGCCTTTGCCACTCACACACTGGGGAGAGGAAGCTGAGGCCCAGCACAAGAGAGGGGACTCATCTAAGGCCACACAAGATCAGGTGGTGAACAAGGGACCAGGATGGAGTAGATAGTTATCTGGGACCTTGGGTCCCGTCTTAGGCATGTGACTTCACCTCTCTGAGCCCCAGTGTGCCCTCATCTCTGCCTCAGCAGGTGGGTAGGAATATCTGCCTGACAAGATTCCTGTGAGGATCCAATAAATGTGCTAAATCCAGGGTTTCACCAGCAAATGACAGCGCCCGCCCCTGCACCAAACCAGTTTCTCCGCAGCCCCTTCCATGTTGCTCATTCTGAAGGCTTTAGGGATCATAGGAAATTGATTTTTACAGTTAGAATGAAGTTCAGTGATTTCCAGAAAGCCAACAGGCTCAGGCATTTCCCTTGATAAGGTCCCTATGTGTCCCTCTTAACAGAATTGACTGTTTTCACCCCAGGGGACATCATTGGGAGCTCCTTAGAGAGCAGCTGTGGCTTGTCAGCACCCTGACTGTCACTCAGGGATCTGGGCTGCGTGACATAAAAAGCTGCTTCCCACTAACCAAAGAATCTCAGGCTTACAAGGACACGTGATCAAAGTCACCAGGCCAAGAGGCATGCATAGGAAGGCCACCTGCTGTGAGCTTGTTCTGGTGGCAGCCATACTTCCCTGTAGGGAGGGGTTTACCAGGCAATGGTGCGGGGTGACCCTGGCTGCCACGTGGCAGTCAGAGCTCAGCTGCTGACGAGCCCCACCCTCTCTTCTGCAGTGAAATCTACTCTGTTGGAATCAAGGGTGTCTGAGTCACGGGGTCAGGGCTTATCCAGAAGACATCATGGCCTAGGGATGGCAAGAAGATGGGGAAACACTGGACAAGAAAGTCACGGGCTGGGCTGGGAAGACGGTTCAGCTGTAACTCCAGTTCCAGGGGAGCTGATGCCCCGCCCCCCACGACCTCCTTGGGCACCAGCCATGCTCATGCATACATGCATGGAAAATACCCATACACTCAAGATAAGTAAATCGAAAAAGTTTTGTTTCAAAAATTCAGGTCAGACTTGGTGGTACATGCCTTTAATCCCAGTCCTTGGGAGGCACAGGCAGGGGGATCTCTGTGAGTTCAACTCAGCCTGGTCTACAAAGAGAGTTCTAGGCCAGCCAGGGTTACACAGTAAGACTCTGTCTCAAAAGAAAAACAAATATATAACTTAGTTTATAAGGGGAGAGGAGATAGTGGAGCCTGGGTTAACCAAAACTAAAGACTTTATGAAAAACCAGTATGGAAATCTACTGCTTCATAAGCTAATTACAAACTGTAATTAAAATATAGAACGAGTTTGAACACAGATACCCTGCATGTGTGGTCAATACTTCCACCAGACCACTTGGGTTATTAAAGAAAAATGTCAGTGCCAAGCATAGGTTATTGATCAGGAAGGCCCCCGAAATCCCCAAAACAACACAGACTATTGCTGTTGCTCCTGATTGCCAGCCAGAACTAGATGTTAAGGCCCTGCTGCAGAAGACACAGGACATTTTGGTTGCAGGACACGGAGAAATGAAGCTGGAACTGCCATGAAACCTTCCTCCCTGCTGTTTCTGTTCAGTGGCAGAGGATGCTCCGCAGGCTTTCTGGGGAGAAAAGTTGTCCGTGTCAGCTCTGCCGACAACCCTGCATCCCACCACGCTGTCTTGCCAGGCAAGATGTGCCCACTTTGGTGGCGTGAGAGTCATGGCGGTCACCATCTGCTTTTGGATTGGATTTGAGGCCTGAGCCACAGGAAGAAAGCCATGCCTGGTACTGTAAACCTGCTCTAAGGCGTGGCTTGAGAGGTTCTAGGGGAGAACATACTACTGTTGTTTTGGTACCCGACACATTGCCAAACCACCTTCTAAATATTTATGCTAATTCCCATGGATTAGTGCTGTTCTCAGCCTTGGCTAGAGAAGCTTCTCTTTGCGGTAGCCAGTAGCTAATGTGGAGACTCGTAACTGATGAAAGTGAAGAAGTAAATGACAGTTGATGCTCAGCATGGACTAGAACAATCTATACACACACACACACACACACACACACACACACACACACACACACACACACACACACAGCATCACAGAGGAGGAAGGGAGCAGAAACACTGTAAGAGCAGGAGGAAGGAGAGGAGGGCTGTGAAATGTTGTCTTCTGGATATGACAGGGCCATGGCACTCATGAACCCACTGCAGCTGTGGTTACCTGCCCAAGATCCAGCCAGCAAGTTGGGAGGACAAGGGCAAAAAGCAGCCAAAACATCACAAGAACAGTCTCTATGCCGCTTTCTAATATTCTTCTCCTCTGAAACTTCTTGAGCCAAGCTGTCACATGCTGTGGGATGTCTTTCTGTATGCTGTGAATATGTGTTCCTCCCATTGGCTAATAAATAAAGCTGCATTGGCCTATGGCAGGGCAGGATGGAGCCAGGTGGGAAAATCCAAGAGAGACAGTAAAAGGAGAAAGGAGAGTGTGGGGAGACGCCAGCTGCCGCCCCAGGAGCAGCAAGATGCCAGCAGACCGGTCACGCCACGGCCACATGGCAACTTACAGATTAATAGAAATGGGTTAAGTTAAAAGAGCTAGCTAGCAAGATATAAGCCTCTGAACGATCATTTTATAAGCGGCTATGAATCGCAGGTGAGAGGTTTGTCCTGACCTCGGGGCGGGCAGGACACAGGAAATCTTCCGGCTATAGTCACAGTTCACATGTCCCTCAGCACCATTGTCCATGCTCCTACTTGAATGGACCATTAAGGCCCACTTAAAATGTTCAACCACTTTTCTAGTACAAAGTCCTCCAACAAGCAGCCTGGTCAAGCCTGTCACATCAATGCCCCGGTCCCTGGTACTAACTCCTGTCTCAGCCCCTGTTCTACGGCTGTGAAGAGACATAGTGACCAAAGTAAACCTTATGAAAGGAAGCATTTAATTGGGGGCTGGCTTTCAGTTTCAGAAGCTTAGTCCATTATCATCCTGGCAAGGAGCATGGTGCCAGGCCTGGTGCTGGAGAAGTAGCGAGTACTCTGCTCCATCCTGGTCCACAGGCCGAAAGAGAAAACAACACTGGGCCTGGTTTGGACTTTTGAAACCTCAAAGCCCACCCTGCAGTGACACACTTCCTCCAACAAGGCCACGCCTACTCCAACAAGGCCACACCTCCTAATCCTAATCCTTTCAAATAGCACCCCTCCCTGGTGACTAAGCATTCAGATCGATGAGCCTGTGGGGCCCATTCTTATTCAAACCACCACAGTGTGTTATTAAGAGAGGAAAGGATAAAAGAGGGGAGTGGAATGTGTTGGGGTGTCTAGGGAAGCGGGAAGGGGGAATTGAGGGTCCTAGAGGGGGTGGGCATGCAGGAAGCAGATAATCAGGATCCATTATCTACATATATGAACCTGTCAAAGAACCAATAAAACAAGTTCTGAAAGTATCCAGTTCCTTCGTTGCAGTGGACATGTCAAGTTTGGCCACGGCCGTGACATGATGGAAAGCAGAGCACCTGCCTCACCGTGGAACAGTCCGTTGGACAGCACTGGCAAAGAGCACAGATTTGACAACCAGACTGGCTGGATTTGAATGCTGGTTCCAATCTTCAGTTATCCTGGGCCTCTGTTTACTCGCCTGTGAAATGGGGATAATGATCCAGTAAAGGCCCACATATGTGGGAGTCCACAGAGGTTTCCTAGTGAGATCTGAGCTTGCTTTACACAGCAGGGCTGCATTAGGAGATGGCTGGACCATGTGTATGGTCACCAGGTGTCTGGGATGGTCTACACTTGGCTGTGCTGGGGGGAGGTCTTTTGCTCCACCCCTTGGCATTCCTTTAAAAGCCCTTTAGTAGAGACAGAAGGGCCTGGTGGGTTTTGACCCAGGCCCTCCTGAGCTATCCTGTGTTTTCTGTCTCTCTCCTCTATACTTCTGTCTACATATTCTTTATTTCTCCCTGTGCTCAAGAGTACCCTGGGGAATAAGAGGGAGCTGGTCTTCCTCACACACAGCCATCACACCTGGGACTAGAGGTTAGTCAGCTACTCAAAGCATCAAGGGATGCTCTCACTCACACTGGACAAGCTCTCCTACCAATGAGTGCATTTCTAGTCCTTTGTTTTGTTTTGAGACAGGATCTTGCTAAATTGCCGAGGCTGGCCTTTGAGTTCACTATGCGTACAAACTGGCTTCCCAGGTACCTGGGACTATAGGTGTGCACCGTCACACCCAGCTTGTGTGGCTTAAATGACGTGCTAGGAATAGAACCCTGGACCCTGAGCACTTTAGACAAGCGATCTAACACAGAAATCCATTCCCTACCCCAGGACATCCTTTTAAATAGAAGATTTCTATTTGTTTGTGGGGTTTGTTTGTTTGTTCAAGACAGGGTTTCCCTGTGTAGCCTTGACTGTCTTAGAACTTGCTCTGGAGACCAGGCTGCCTGTCTCCTGAGTGCTGGGATTAAAGGCGTGTGCCACCACTGCCTGGCACACCTGGAAGATTTTATTCAATTAAAAACAAACATTTGTTTTCCGTCCAATCTATTCCTTGTGTTTAGCCCTGTTCATGAGCTTCACACATTGTCCCCATATGTGAAGGACACCCAGGACTGGCAGGCAACTAACAGAACAACAGGAGAGTAGAATCCTCTGCACCATGGTTCTTTCTTTTTAAAAATATTATTATTATCATTATTATTGTTGTTGGTTTATTTGTTTGTTTTTCGAGACAGGGTTTCTCTGTGTAGTTTTTGGTGCCTGTCCTGGATCTTGCTCTGTAGACCAGGCTGGCCTTGAACTCACAGAGATCTGCCTGGCTCTGCCTCCCGAGTGCTGGGATTAAAGGCGTGCGCCACCACCACCCGGCTATTTTTATTATTTTAATTGTGTATATGTGTGTGTGTGTGTGTGAGTGCATGTGCATGTGCCTTTGAAGACATCGGACCCCCGGAACTGGAGTTACAGGCAGTTGTGAGCCACTTGCTATAGTGCTAGGACACAAACCTGGGACCTCTTAAGAACAGTGCATGCTCTTAACCGCTGAGCTGTCACTCCAGCTGCCTCCGGATGTTTCTTTCCAGATCCTTTGGAGTTGTTTCTTCCATGCCCAATTTAAAGTAGTTTTTAAACCACAAGTCTTTATTGAGCTTTCGTAAAAAACAAATCTCTTCCCTTTGTGCTCGTATTTCACCAGCTTATGGGATCGCTAATTCAATTGCCTCTTTACAAAAACCAGTGTGGCTGGTGCAGACCAGTTTGGAAACAAACCCAATAGACTCTTGGCAAGCATGCAATTTGATGGCAGAAAGCCAGAGGGGACAAGGGTGCCAGAGAATGGCCTGCTGGCCACTCAGCAGGCGTGTGGCAGGAGTGTCCCATTCAAACAGCCTGGAGAGCCCCATTAGCCGGGAAGCTGTTTCAACAGATTGCTAACAGGAATTTTGTTCTCATCCTCATTCTAGCAAAGACTCCATAGTGTGGTGTCGACTTTGGGAGACACCTGCACAGCAAGACAATTCATTTGCCAGCCTGTCTTGCAGCCACAAGTGACCATGGGATAGGCCTCACCAATGGAGTGCAAGTTAGAGTGTGGGTTCCAGACATGGCCTCTGGGGAACAGGGAAACGTCTCCATCTCTGTCTGCAATATAGACGCAGAGGACCCTGTGCCCTGGGAAATGGTGGGTCACCATGTAAACAGCCAGGAACATCACGTGAAGGAAAGCCGCCATCCCGTCAGAATGCTTGCCTGGTTTATTAAGACAGCTAGCATCACCCAATGGACACACTTACCATGTAAGCTGTGATAGTCAAATTAGATGATACATACACAATAGACTCCCAAGTGGGACTTCCTATTGTTTCAGGTTCCCAGATGAAGTCTGCTTTACAGCTGAGGTCAAACAGAAGGTACCAAGAACGCCTATATTCCAGAAAGCTCCAAGACTCACCTGCAGGCCCTTCTTAGAAACGTTCCACTGGCTTCCGCCTCCTAGTCTAGTCCCTCCAGCTATGTAGTAAAGTCAAGGGCAAGTTTCTAGGACCAGAGAACAGGTTTAAATCCTGGGCCTACAATATACCAACTGCGAGACCCTGGTAAAATTGTGTCAGCTCTCTGGGTGGCCTTAATGATAATATCTGCCACCTCATTGCCCTATACCCCCCCAGATACAGAGGCTGTGAGGTCAGCTTGAGTCCTGGCTGCATGTTCTATTCCACCCTCCCTCCGACCCCTGCCTCCTCCCTCTCCCTGACTGCTGAATCCTGTCAGTCACTACATGGATCTCTTCTTTATCTAGTTGGAAGCCAGAAGAGAGTCACAAGGAATAACAAGAGCCATCCAGGTCAGAGCAAGCAGCCTGGGGAAAGGCCTGGAAGGGAGAACGTGGCCAAGAGGGGATGCCACACCTATGGGGTGTCTCAGCACAGAGGGTCTGGAAGACACAAGAGGCCTGAGAGTCGTGGGTCTGGCCCAGTCAGTGGAGGTTTATCTCAGGGTCCCAGAGGATTTTAAGCAGAATGACTTAGCCTTGGTTGTGTTTACAATGGTCTTTCTGGCTATGCAGTGTGGCCAATGGGAGAAGGCACTCACGGTGGGTCATCCAGTGGACAGACAAGGTACCCTGCCTCGGGGCCTGGTGATTAAATAATACATTCAGCACAAATGAAAAAGCAACAAAATACCCTCCCCCGAACAGGAGCGGGGCGGGGTGGGGGAGAGAATAGCTATCTCTATTTCCAACTCACCCGGAGGCTTGGTGCACCATCTCCAAATAGGCTGCACTTTTACATCTGGGCAACAGGGGGCAGCAGTGACCTCTGGATCCAGGACTTGGATCAGCTGGCAGCCTCTCCACTATTCAAGCTTACAAATATCACTAGGGGGCAGCACCATGTTACTGTTTCCTCCACCAGAGCCCGTTGGAAACCCGCTAATAACACACAGATTTTAGCAAAGTGGGCACTCAGGATGGACTGGCAGCAGGGGACAGAGGAAATGGAAGATCCTGCTCGGACCAGATGCTGGCGCAGGCGCGGGTTGTTCTTGAACAGTCGACAAGTGACCGCGTGTGATCTGGATACTTGATAATACTGTTCAGTTGAAGTTAAGAAAAAGAAGGGAGGGGAAAAGACAAAATGGGAGGAAAGGAGAAGGGAGAGAAGGGATAGATACAAACAAAGAGGAGAGAAAAGACGGGGAAGAACAGGAGAGAAAGAGAGGAGAGAAATGGGTGGGGTGGGGAGACAGCGCATGGGCCGTGGGTTCGGCTGGTTCTGAGTCTCCCAGCCCTGATAGTAGCTGTAATTTTACATATCCATCTTCAGTTTCTCCTCTGTAGGGCAGGAATTCCCTCAAGTACTTCACATTTCAAAAGTCATGGACAGGGGCACCAGGACACAGTAAATACCCGCTAGGTGATGGTACTGTCCACTGCCTGGCACCATCCTGGTGCTAAGCCCAGAGCAAGGTCTAGAGGGTCAGATTCTCTAGAGCTGTCGCCAGTTAGGACAGGGAGGGTGCTGGGCATCTTGGCAGGCCTGGGATCTCTCTCTGTCTTCCACTGAGGGAGCCCCGTCTTCATGATCTCCCTCAACATGCAGGAAGATGGGGTGCCCCAGTCCACAGTCTGGCTCCATGCTGGGAGAGTCAGCTATTGCTGACAGAGAAGGAGTTTCTAGAGAGTAATAGGTCAGTGACACACAGTTCCCCTGCTGCTCCAACCCAGCACTAAGGAAGTGAGTGCAGACACTTTCCTGGGGTTCAGCCAGCCAGACCCAGGTAGCTCAGCTAGGAAAGCCTGATCGAGGAAGAAGGTCAGGTCTTCATCTCTTCACACAGGGAGAGCTCCTGTCCCAGCCCTCCATCATTCTACCACACAAAGGCTGCCCTTCCTCTCCCTGTTTGGTGATTCTGGGAGACTGGCAGCCCTACATCGTGAGGTTCCTTCTCCTCTTGCCTCCAGGCCAGTTTTGGGCTTGGCCACCTTGCCCCACCCGTGGGAGGCTGCTCTCACTTCCAGGTGTGGTGCTGGACTTTGTTCTCTAGTTGGCTGCTCAGACAGACTCAGTACCCACACTGAATGTTTCTTCTTTTTTTTATTCTGTCGAACAGGACAAGTCAGTCACTGAGGAGCGTCTGGCTTCGAAGGCACAAAGCTCAGGGACAGGCAAAATCACACCTGTGGAGATGGAAATCAGGCAGGACGGGGCTCATCTAATCACCAGAAGGGGACCACAGGAAGAGCAGGACTTTTCTGAGGTGATGGGAACATTATATACCTGGACAGAAGTGTTGGTTACACGGGTGCACAGTCATAAAGGTTTGTGGCCTGTGCATTTAACTGTGCGAATTACACATATCTCAATAAAGTTTCATAGGGAAAATCACACTTTCAGCACAGAGACTATTGTCCTTTGTTTAGTTTTTGGTTTTTGAACAGGATCTCACTGTATAGCTCTGGCTGGCCTGGAACCCAATATGTAGACCAGGCTGGCCTCAAACTCACAGAGATCCATCTACCTGCCTCTTTTTTGGAGTTCTGGGACTAAGGGCATGTACCACCACACAGACCAGAGACTTCTCTGATTGCCTGGCTAGACCTTGATGATAACACCAGTTTTAAAAGTATTTGTTGCCAGGCATGGTGGCACATGCCTTTAATTCCAGCACTTGGAAGACAGAGGCAGGGGGATCTCTGATTTGAGGCCAGCCTGGTCTACAAAGCAAGTTCCAGAACAGCTAAGGCTGTTACACAGAGAAACCCTGTCTCAGAAAACAAAAACAAAAACAAAAAACACAAAAACAAAAAAGGATTTGTTGTTTGTGGTGTTTGTGTATGTGCACTTGTGTGTCCATGAGCGTGTGTGTGTGTGTGTGTGTGTGTGTGTGTGTGTGTGTGTGTGTGTGTAGGACCTCAGGCATTGTTCCTTAGGAGCTTTCCACTGTGTTTTTTGAAGCAGGGTCTCTCACTGGCCCGGAACTTCTAAGCAGGCTATGATGACTGGCCTTGGAGCCCTAGGAATCCTCCTGCCTCCGATTCCCCAGTACAGGGATCATAAGGGTGCACCACCATACCTGGCCTTTGTATGTAGGTTCTGGGATTCATCCCAGGTTCTCAAGCTTTCCTGGCAAACACTTTACCAACCAACCTCAGCCCCCACTTTTATTTTTAAAATAAACACAAAATGGACCATGGGAGAGGATGTAAATTTTATGTTTAGGTGTTTTTTTGTTTTGTTTTGACATGATAACACAGGACACCAGAAGTGTGGAGCTGTGAACCTCCTGCTTTTCAAGTGCTTAAGAAATGTGTGTTCTTACAAATACAAAGTGAAGTCCATGGATCTTGCTGATGCTCCTTGGGACAGCATGATTTCATCTCTTCATGTTCACAGAGGATTCTGCCACTGAATTCTTCCCGGGCGGGCAGGGTATTCTCAGACCAGGGAAGCCAGACTCACGAGTTCACCCATAATCTTGACTTTGGGGACAAGTGCACAGAAGTCCAAGAAGGGAATTGGGAGTTTCAGGCAATCTGCTGCCTGGTACCTCCTCACCCCCATTGTCCCCAGCATGATGACCAGGCTTGCCCAGCACAGCTTAGCTTTAAAAGTTCTTTTGGTGGTCCTTTTCGTACAGGGAAGTTCGGAGAGAAAGCTGTCCCATGTGCATGTTTGATAAGGAACTAGCCAGGAGGACACAGACGCCTGGATCAGAATCCCAGGCTGAATTAGAGAAACGGAGCTGGTCATATGCTCCACCTACCTCAGAGACAGCAGGCATCCCTCAGTGCTCTGGACAGCGAACCCAACCAGGACAGTTAACTGCAGCCCAGAAAGGGACATCTAGCGTCAGTTCAGGGCCTGGTCCTAGGGACACCTGCTGAGAGTGGCAATCTCTGCATCTCCATCCCCAGTTGGCTCTAGTAGGCACTGTTCCATGAGCTTCGACTCCTGCCTGCCAGGCAGGGTCTGGGCAGACACAGGCGGCGCTGGATCTCCAGTTGGCAGAATCGGTTCTGGTTGGATACTCGGGTGGTTACACCCAGCCCACAGGTGGTTGAGCAGGGGCCCCAGGCTGTGCTCCAATTTGGACAGGGGACATCAGCCGATGCGGGAGTGACAAGGCCAGAAAGTTGGTGTCCTGGGGGTTAGAAAGAAGAGGGTGAACATGGAGAGGTCGGGGCTCCGCAGGCAAGTCCACTGGCCTGCTAGCCATCACAGGGACCCTGGCGAGATGGCTGAGCCTTAGTTTCTTCCTAAACTTCCTAACATTTGGGATTGAATAAACAATGGCTGGGGAGTCTACGCATAATGCACCCCGCTGACACTGGTCATGAGACAACGGAAAAGGGCCCTTTCCTTTCTCTCTACCTTCCTACTCCCTGATCTATGGTGTCATACGGACACACTGTGTGGCACTGCCACCTGCTGGTAAGAATGCTGAAGGGCCAAGACGACAGGCTCCCCATGGCCTACCTCTTCCCTCCCATTCTCCTCTTCTCTCATGTTTGATATCCTTCCTTCTAGCCCTGAGAACCAAGAGCATATCTGGCAAAGTCTAGAGAGATCTTTCAGTTGTCACAGTCAATGTATACAGGAGGTTTTTTTTTTTTGGGGGGGGGGGGAGGGTTGCTACTGACATCTAGAGTGTAGAGGCCAGGTTGTCTTTCTACATCCCACAGCATACCCAACAGCCCCCAACCACAAAGAGCGACTCATCCCAAATGTCACTGGTGCTGATGACGAAAGAGCCGGCTTTGTGCACACAGGCGTCATGTGTTGGTGTGTCAGAGCAGGGGTGTTGGATCAAGGACGGCTCAAGAGTACCAAGTTGTGAGGTGTTTGCCCAGAGCCTACACACACCCTCCTAGGCACACAGGTCACTTCCAGATCACTAAGGCTAGCTAAAATGGGAATGTTCTTGAATAGTTGTGAAACCATCTTTGCTAAGGAAGAGTCTCCAGAATAAAAAAAAAAAGTTTGTGCATGCTCAGTACAGACCCAATTACAAAACTATTTTTGATGAGCAGCTGGTTGAATCCACGGATACAGAGGACCAACTGCAAGTATGCTCGTGGCCCTGTGTACATGTACACACAATGGAGGTCAGATGGGAGGTAGGGCTTTTATCTTGCTTTTTACTATGTAAGTGGAGGGCTGACAGCATGGCTCAGTGGTAGAGCACGTGCCTAGTGTGTACAAGGCTGTAGGTTCAATTCCAAGTATTATGGGAGGGCGTGGATACGTACCGTGAGCTGGATGACTTTCTCCAATGTGCCTAACTTGATGTGCCATATTCCCTGCCAGGGATAATGGTGGCCAGAGCACGTACGCAGTGAGTGTCAGGCCTCTTTACAACCCATTCACTTGATCTAATTCAACAGTTCTAAAAGGTGGGTGTTCTTTTTAGTTCCGATTTACAGTTGGAGAAACTGAGGCAGGGAACTCCAACAACTTTTTCAGAGTCACACAGCAAGCAAGGCCAGCGCTGGGTTGAAAAACGCAGTGTCCATCTCTTTAACCCACCCCGTCTCCTGCCTTCCACATGTGGCGGCATCCACAGAACCAGCCCTTACTTCCTGGTCACCTTCTCCAGTCAAATTCATGTGACAACAATAATGTTTTCAAAGAAACGGGACACCAAAGTCCCAAAGTTGAAGCGTTTGTAGAAGGATGTAACTGTCTTGTCTGTACCTCTGCCCAGCCCTGGGCTGTATCCCAAACTCCAGTCCTGCTGGTTCAGCTTTTACCCAGTATTTTACTAAATCCACACAATCATGGATTCATAATATTATAGATTGTACACATGTATTAAGAGTCATAAATATATGGTCCATATGTATATCTGGAACCCCAGCAGCTGAGGCCTTGGTGGCCTGGGCTTACCCTATACTCACTTACCTTGGGCCATGTAACGCTGGATCCTTGGCATCACTCCCTGGTCACACACCCACTCAGGACAGCACCTCCCAGGCACCTCTACTCTCCTGGGGCGTGGACAGTCCCAGCTGGGCAGCCGCACATCCTCACTGCACAGTGGCAGGCAGGTGAAGCCGCCGTCGTCACAGCGGCAGAGGACCCTGCAATTGGGCTGAAAGGTCTCCCCATCCAGGTA